AGCTGTGCACAAGGTGTTTGTCACAGCTCCAGACTTATTTGTTCATTAATGACGTCATCAGCGACTAGTCGACTTTGACTCGACTTTCATAACATAAAAGTCGACTTGAAAAAATCAGAAGTCGTTCAACCCCTAATATATAGGCCTATAGCCTAGCTTTATTATGTTTTTCTCCGCTCGCAGAAGCGCTGCAGGTGCGTGATGTGATATGATGACCATGTGAATCCTCATGTTCAAAGGTTTGCCTTTATTTGTGTACATTCACAATAAAAATGTACACATTTCTTTCTGCCGTCTGGTTTCCTTTCGCGTAACACAAAAATGAACTGAAACTGAATACTAGGCTACTTGTTGCACAGTTTTTCTTTCGTTTTCTTAATTTAAGTAAAAATATATTTCTCGTATAGGCCTATTTATTCGTTACATACAGTGGGTACGGAAAGTATTCAGACCCCCTTAAATTTTTCACTCTTTGATATATTGCAGCCATTTGCTAAAATCATTTAAGTTAATTTTTTTTCCTCATTAATGTACACACAGCAACCAATTTAAAATAATCTTGTCGGTTAACGGTTAATAATCTGTTAACGAGCTTCGGTTGTCAGTTAGGAAAAATAACCGAAATGAACATCCCTAGTCTCCATTGCCACTTGTGATCCGATCGACCAAAACGAATCTAATACCAAGTGTATCAAGTGAATCATTCAATGACTCATTCAAAATACACAAAACAAAAAGCCACATACTGACAAAATGATTTAACCCTAACAAAAGCCACTAAATAAAAACAGTGAAAGAATATGAATATCATTTTGATGAACTACTTCAGAGTACTGATAAATGAATCACATTCACCACCAATAGAAGGTCAATACATCAAAACTCTCACCTCCTGTGTTTGGTGGTTTTGCTCAACTGTCTGTTGGTTGATGAGTCGCTGCTGCTGAAGGTCCTCCTGGAGTTCCTGTACTCTAGCCTGCTCTTTCTCCAATGCCTGGAGACAGGCTCGATGTTCAGCCTCAACATTTTCCAGCTTTAGCCTGAAACACAGACAAACATTTTTCAGAAAAAAAAAAAAAATAAAAATATGGCATACTACTAGTGACAATTCATATTCAAAGAGTGTGCATGCATGTTTGCTGTACCTGAGCTTGTGAATTTGGCTCTTTAATTCATCTTGATTTTTGTATGTAGTCTGAAGCTCTAGCCTGGTCTCTTCTAGCTCCGCCTTCAGCACTGACACAGCCTTTAGCTCTGCCTCCAACTGCCTCTGCCCCTCCAATCCCCTACTTTTCTCAGCTTCCAGAGAGGAGTGCAGATCATGTGACACTGTTTGTTCCTGTTGCAGCCGCAACTCCAGCTCTTCTACTAAACAGTGCACAGAGTTTGGGACTGTTTTGTTGGTTTACCAATACTTGCTGTCAATTTTTTCCCTCAAATTAATTGTGAAAAACATACCATCTTTATGCAGCTGATGTTGCATTTCCATGCCCTGTTCTTTTGCGGTGTGTAGGGAATCCTGCAGCTGCCGCAGCTGTTCCTGGCTCTGCTGGGTGCTTGCATGCAGCTGTGCATGCAGGCTGCGCACCTCAGCCAATAGACTGTGACGGTCTGCGTTGAACAGCTGCTCTAGAGATCTCCACTGCTGCTCCTCCTGAAAGAAAATCAGAATATTTAATAAATAAAAGCACATTAATTTATTTCAAATGAGAATATCAGCATCAAAAACAGCATCATATGCTGGGCTTCTCAGCACCTGCTTCTGAAACAGTTTCTTTAACTGATCCAACAAAGGGGTGAGGTCCATCTGAGTAGCGGTTGCCATGAAAGCTTGAAGCTGAGAGTGAAGCCATTCCCTTTCACTGTCAAACAAACTGCGGACAGCCTGCAATAGCTCATGCCTCCAGTCCACATCCCCACTGTCAGTCTTCATATACATACACACAAACAAAATTCAAATGTAAGTGAACTGTTGGATCGAGCACACTACTGCACACAATCACTTTGGATCTGCAGTTTTATTTCCAAGTTACTTTAACCTTACAAAGCCTATTGCATCATATTTAATCAGAAAAAAGGTCTCTAAATGATCAACATGATTAAAAGTTTGCTGAAAAACCGGCCGCACACAATCTACTACATGTCTTCGGTTGTCTGACTGTTTCATTCCTACTTTAAGGATCTATCAGGTAAGCGATGTACAGATGAGCCTCACCCTGGGTTTCCTGTCAGCCATCCTGCAGAGCAGCTCTCTGAGTGATAAGATGGTCTCCTGTAAGGCCCGTCTTTCCCTCTGCCAGGAGGGGGGCGGGGCAGGCTCAGAATCTGGGCGGGACTGGCCAGATGGGGCAGGGCGATGGGACAAAGACAGGATTCTACAGCTTTCCTGGTAGACGCGCTTCAACATAGCCTGTAAATGATACGCACAGATATAGAATCACTAAATCCATCAGTTCTTCATGTATGAGTGAGGGTAGCATTATAAAGTTGTTGTTTACTTGTAACTCAGGTGTGAGGGCCTCATGGCTCTCGTGCATACTGCCTGCAGCACTATCTGTGTTTTCAGCAGGTGACATTCCTCTGCAGCGCAGATACTCCACAAAATGAGCATCTAAATGCTCTGTATTCTCCAACTCAAGCCTCAGCATGGCCTCCAACTCTGAGCTCACGTCTACAAACACAGTAAGATTAACTAAGAAAATAATTCTAACCTTAATTAAACACATCCAGTCTCTCTTACAGAAATGCAAGCATGCACAAGTACACAACTCACTGCTGCCATATCCATCGCTGACCCACTCCGGCACAGACCCAGGAGAGTTGGAACCAAGTGGAGACAGAGATGGCGTCACATCTGAATTGTCCAATTCATGAACCTTAAAACATAACAGCTACACCATCACCACACCATCATGACGTCAACAGAGAGAACCAATAAACATATGTGGCACCAATTTTAACTATTGAAATTTTTGGCCAAAAAAAAAAAGTCCATTTTCTGGCACTAAGGCTGGGTGATAAATCAAAAACTGAACTGAACTTCATGAGAAACCAGAAAAATAGAAATTCATTAATTTGAAGAAATCTACTTTCATTAACATTCAACCAACATTTTTTAACCATGTTTTCATATATATACACGGTATACTTCTGTTGTGCAGTGCTTTTAGGACAAAAATCAATAAATACAATAAGACTACAAATGTTTGGTTGTAAATTGTAACAATTCTTTCTGATTACATTGATGAAACAAAGATGCATGAATTTAGAAACTGTGTCAAATGAAATGATACATTTATATTAAAAATCAAAACACAGAAACCAGAAAAAAATGAAAGGGAACAAGAATTACAAGGGGCCTAAATAAAAAAACAAAACAAGCTACTTGTTTTTTATAACCTAAATAAACAAGCTATGCTTTAATTCTTGAGGTCTAACAAACACAATGCATTTCCTTTTTTTTTTTATTAATGGCATTCAATTAGTGTTTTTAATGTTTCCATTAGCCCTGGAACTTTTCTTTGGAAAAAAAGTGAAATGCATGCTTACCGTATCTGCATCCAGGGAGTCAAGCACAGAAAGGTGTTCGGACACAGTAAGTGAGCAAGGGGATCCAGTGTGTATGCTGGGTGGGACTTCCTCTGAAGGTGGGATAAAAGTTTGTCTGGCGTGTGGTCTCTCTTTGTCCCGCTCCATAGGCGAAGGCTTGCTGTGGAGCTCTAGGCTGGCGCTGTGTAGCGCACTGAGGTCTGAGAGGTGAGACACATGCAGACGAGAGGGGTGCTCTTCACTGTACTCCAACCTACGCAGGACTTCTGGTGAAGATAAGGAAGCAGAGAGGGATGGGTCACGGGAAAGGCCTTCAAGAAAACGGTGGCCATGTTTGGGATGATGGTCCTGCAGGTTGCAGCGCTGTTGGAGCTGCTCTAGCTCCTGCTGCTGATAGGCCAGCTCTTCTTCCTGCACAGCCAGGTCATCCTGCAGACTCCGCAGCTCTGCTTTCAGGTGCTGGTTATGGACCTCGAGATCAGCCAACGCACGATCTTTCGTCTGATGGTGAAAGATCAAATCAGCAAACTTGATTTTTACACTTCTGAAAAAAAGTGACCAGTGCTTGTGCTCTGTGAAATTATTTATTCTATTAACCTTAAAAATGCATTAAATCTGTACAAATTTTTTTTTTTTACATTCTGGGTCCGTTTGGACTCAAAGTATTTATAAAACAGTCATAACTGCCAAATCAATGCGTTTATCAATTAAGAAACCAATCCACATACCTGTCCCTCTTCCAGTAGCTTTTCAGCTCTCTCTGTGCTGGTACTAAGCCCCTCCTTCACAGCTGCTAGCTCCGCCCTTAGAGCATCACACTCCGCCCTCAGGTGGATCAGCTGCTGTTCTCTCTCACGTAAAGCAGTCTCAGCTTTAGCCAAGGTCTCTTCAGCACACGTCTGCAAAAATAAACACTCAGAAATGTCAGTTCTTTACACCACACACACAAAATGTGTTACATCAGCAGTTACAAAACTATATAAAGTTAAGGTCATGCTCTGATAAATGAGCAGAAGAACTAGCTCAAATCTTCAGCAAGTCATTTGTAAAAATGCATGACTCAACATGTAAACTATTCCTAACCAGTGAACATAAACCAATACAAAAATGACATAGAACTGTTACATGTTAAAGCAATCAAGGTTTTGCCTCCTGCTCAATCACAACAAAAGTGGCTCATCACTAGAAAGAAAGTTCCAAGAAATTAAATGTTATTTGCTAAAACATCGCTCGATCATACTCTAAACAAAGCAAATATAAAAAGTGCAGCTTTTCACTTTAGCTCATGACTAACCAATCCCAAAGTTTAGATCAAGCTTTTAAAGTAAACGGTTTAAAAGACTTCAGACAGACTTCCTCTTTTTGTAAATTTACTTCCCGTGTGAGCTATGAGGGCTGTGCCAGAGGGCTGGACTAAATCATTCTATTCTTTTCCCTCCCCTTTTTTTCTTCTGTAATTTCAGGCACTACCTAAACTGCACAAACAAAACACGGTTGATCTACAACTAATTACAGAATCTGCAAAGCATGAAACCTTGAGGCAACTTCCCAAATAACTCACTGTTTACATAGTTCATGGCAAGAGTAAAGTCACAAAGTTACAGCCCAAGTCCACAGTTTGTTTATAGGGCAGTTTTGTTCAAATTCCACTACAGTAAGAAAGGAAAACTAAGCACTCAAAAACTGTAGTGAGCAGGGTTTGATTAAAAAAAAAACAAAAAAAAAAAAACAAGTTTTCCCCAAGTATCTCACCAGTACTTCTTTTTGAGCTTCCCCTTGTTTAGCCACCGTGTCCTTATGTTGATCAAGTAGTTCTTTAATGTAGTTAGTCTTTGATGTCAATTCCTGTTTCAAACGCTCTATTTCCTCCTGGAGGCATTCCTCCCGTTTTCTCAGAGCCTCTCTCTCAATGGACAGTTCACTTTTGCTTGTCTCCAAGGCAATGATGGTGGCTTTGCCTACTTGGACGTTTTCCTCAAGCCCGTCGAGTTTGAACTGTAAAGCGACAAGTTCATTCTGATATTCCTCTTCTTTGTTTTGCAGTTTCGAGATTTGGTTCTCCAGAAGCTCCTTCTCAACACACTGGTTCTTCACCTCCTCCTGCAGCCTGCCAAGCTCCTGCTGGACCTCGTCTCTTCTCACTTCCGCTCTTCTCAGCTGGAGCTCAGACTCTCTAAGCCTGGACTGATGAGCTTGCTCTGTATCTTCCAACACTTCCACACGATCCGCCAATCTCTCAGCTTCTGTCCGCTTCTCCTCTAGCTGGAGTTTCAGCTCATTTGCTTCCTGTTCCAACACAGCCACCTTCCCCCTTTCCTCTCCAAGACTCCGGCCGAGTGCCTCCACCTGGCTTCCATACTGTTCTTCTTGGGAGAGCAACAGTCTCTGTAGAGAGTCCTTCTCTTCAGCTGCTCGCTCCAGTTTAATCTGTAACTCCTGCAAGCGAGCGCGAGACGACTGCAGCATGTGGCTACTGAGCTCCTGGCACAGGCTTTCCTCAGGCGCCCTCTGTTGGCGAGGATGAGGGGACCAGGGGAAGTCAGATGACTCGGGGCTGTCAGTGTTGGGGTCACTGACCTCATGATAGTTGGGGTCAAGCTGGCTTAACTCCTCTTGAAGCTTGTTAATAACCTCGTGGAGTTGCTCAGTCTCTTCTTCCTTTGCCTGCCGTAAACGTTGCAGGTCACAACGAAGACGTTCAACCAGAGAGCGCAGGTCTTCAATCTCAGCTTGCTTTTCCTCTAGAGTCTGAAAATGGTAATGAGGACTAGTTACAAACCAGCAGCATACTCAATTGCTACAAAATAAATGACAAAAGTCTTCAAATTAAACAAGACGCTAAACCTTAGATCTATTTTCCTTGTAATAAGTGTACTCCAATCTTCCTGAATATTAGAGATGGGAATTTAAACAAATGGAACTATTCTGAATCCTCTTGAAGGGTTATTTCACCCAAAAATGAAAATTCTGTCATTAATTACTCACCCTCGTGTTGTTCGAAACCCGTAAGACCTTCGTTCATCTTCGGAACACAATTTAAGATATTTTTGATGAAATATGAGGGCTCTCTGACCCTCCCATAGACAGCAAGGCAACTACCATGTTCAAGGTCCAGAAAAGTACCAAGATGATCGACAAAGTAGTCCGTGTGACATCAGTGGTTCAACTGTAAAGTTACGAAGCTACGAGAATACTTTTTTGCACAAAGAAAACAAAAATAACGACTTTATTCCACATTTTCGTCTCTACTGCGTCACTTTGGACATGCGTTCACGACAGTATCATGACGAGAGCGTGTGGCGGCGCCGGCGCTGACCCAGATCCGACATGATGACGTCATTACGCCGGACCTGGGTCAGCTACAAAGGTCGAACGAAGGTCTTACGGGTTTGGAACAACGTGAGGGTGAGTAATTAATGACAGAATTTTAGTTTTTGGGTGAGCTAACCCTTTAATTCCAATTCCATTAACAAACAAAAACAAACATGGACATACTTGTCTTACCTTATTATCACTGGTCGTGTCAAGCTCTTGCTGCAGCTGGAGGATCTGCTGGTTTAAGTGGTCGATCTCCAGATTCTTCTCCTCCAGAAGGGCAGAAGGCAGCTGAAGGATGGATTCGTCACTGCCCTCTTCTAGTCGCCTTGTTAAAGTGTCCACAGTCTCCTAAAGGACACAGAATGAAGTCAACCTGGCTTTTTAACATCCTCCAGACCAGTGTTTCCCAACCTTTTTTTAGTCGTGGCACCCTTTGGATTTTACAGTGGGGTAATTTTGGTGCAGTAGCACGTTAGCACGAGATTTCAAACTTTGAATTGAATAAAAAAAATGACAAGCAAGCAGTCAGTAATAAAATAAGAACAAATAAAGAAATTAATAATGATAGCACAAATAAAAAATAACGACAGGCCTTCGAATTAAATAAATTGCTTTTTAGTTTTTCAGGTAGGTCTAACAGTAGGGTTAAGATATTTAACTTTTTTTTTTTTTTTACCAATTATCCAAATAATGTTTAGTCCTAGAAAGCTATTATTATCAGAACACGCGAGCATAACATAGCGGTTAGCAGATCAATGAATGAGAGGGCAGCGTTACCAGAGTTGCCCATATACCACACCATGTTACAACACAGTAGGACTATTGCAGACAGAAACAATACTGTACTACATCGATGTTTCCTGTCGGCTCAATTTTTGAGTGGACTTTGCTGTTCCGATTCGCATGAATGGTATACGAGTGGAGCGACTGAGCGGAGCGCACACACGCATTGAGCGGGATAATACGCAGAGCGTCACACCACGTGAAAGTGAAACCTGAGTGGTGAACTAATTTTCGGCAGCCGAAATTTCGGTGCATCTCTAATTATTGGCGACATCAGAAATGGATATTATATAATAGATGCTTTTTTGAACATTTTAGCAATTTAAAAATATTAAGAAAGGATTTTTTACACGGCACCCCTGCTCTCGACAGACGGCGCCCCGGTTGGGAAACACTGCTCCAGACAATCATTAACTAAATCCACTACAGTATTCGAATGAAGGTTCTGTGCTATAAATACAATTTATCCAAGACTGTGAACAAATTAATGAACATCACGATAGGATTGCCAGGCTACACTCATTATACAAGTATAATGAGACCACAGACTAACCTGCAGGTGAGTGATGTGCATGTGGAGCTGCTCTTCTGTAGCTCTGCTCTCTGTGTTTTTGAGCTCCAGCTGTAGTGTTAGTTGTCCGACCTCTTCCTCCCTCACTACCAAATCCTTCTCGAGCTCACTTATACGTTCTGACAGCAACTCCACCTAAGAGAGACGAAAACTCTTAAATCAATTTCCATTGTGCATGTCCTAACTAGAAACAAAACAGACTGTTAAAGGCAATTTCATATCTCTTTCACGGTCTTTTTATATACTCACCTGTTGTACTTTGGTCTGCAGATCCTGCTGTGAGGCTTCAAGCTGCTCCCGGAGGTTGGGGTCAGGGGTCACATCAGGGAAACGGTGTCTGGTCTCATCAAGTTTGGACTGTAGGGCAGAGATCTGAAGCTTATTAACATACTGCTGCTGCTGCAAAGCTTCTTTATCCTGAAAGTAAAAACACACAGACCACTACTGGTTAGAACTATTTTAATATTCATGCAAAATAATTCCAAATCTCCCCAAACATTAACACCCAACTGAAGCAGTGAAAAATGAATTTTGTACTTGTATTTCATGTGTTTTTGTGCACCTGTGTGAGCTCCTGAAGGTTTTTGCGTGCTTTCTGAAGTTCTTGCTCCAGCTGTGTTCCAGTTCGGCTGGCCTCTGCACAGCTCAGCAATGCCTGCTCCAACTCACGGATACGAGCTGTCAATTTTTCAATCTCTTCATTACGCTCTTCCACATACCAGAAATACAGGCACATTAAAAATGCAAATGCATCAAAAATTCAATGTATTGAATAGTGTAAATATATTATTGAATATATGTATAGAATATAGACTTTTTTTATTTTATTCTACAAGGCTGCATTAAATTGATCAAAAGTGACATTAAAGGCTTCATTTTTATTATTAAAAAAGAGAAAAAAAGAGAAAGAAAACACCTTTCAAATAAATGCTGTTCTTTTCAACTTTCTAATCAAAAAAATACTAAAAATCATTCACTTTCAATTTCCATGCAATTATCAAGCAGCACAACAGTTTTCAACATTGATAAGAAATGTTTCTTGAGCACCAAATCAGCATATTAGAATGATTTCTGAAGGATCATGTCACACTGAAGGCTGGAGTAATGTCTGCTGAAAATTCAGTTTTCCATCATAGGAATAAATTACATCTTAAAATATATTAAAATAGAAAACTATTTTGTACAAATAGAATTTAATATTCCACAATTTACCCATTTTATTTTATTTTTATTTTTAATCAAATTAATGCAGCTTTGGTGAGCAAAACACAAAGACATGACAAAAGATTTATCTATCAATAAGTTTCTTTACAAACAGAAATTGGAAAAAACCCAGAGTGGAGCCAGAGTGAAGTGACTGTAGAATGTTTTGAGCACGAATGGGAAGTTACTGCCACTTCATTCTGCTCACATACTCGTCACAGATTATCCAATAGTCACAAAAAGGGTGTCAGTCTCTTAAAACAAACACATATCTAATGGTGCTTTTCCACTGCGTGGTACGACTCGGCTCGGCTCGCGTTTCCACTGCAGTTCAGTACCGCTTAAGAGTGGGCGGGATTATTCACATGTCGTTATAGCTGTGCCGCCTCTATAGCCGCGACTCCTGAAAAACGTTTTAATTCCGCGTCGCCCCATCAAGCTCTCGCTGGATCTGCTCCTCTGCTATCAACGAGAGGAATGTCCGTACTTCCTCAACAGACAATGAAACAGCCACTTTTTGGTTGTTAAAAAAGGTGCGCTTGTTCAAAACAGTTGCATTCGATCCTTCGCTGGCTGTGCGGATTTAAATCTAGCGGTTCTGTTGTGTTTGTGTCACAAGTTCAGTGACGCAGGTAGTGACGATTCTCTCCGGCCAATCCGTGATCAGCAGAGTTTACACGTCACGTTTTGGTAACGGTACGGTTCACTTGGCTACAAGGCTGCATTAAATTGATCAAAAGTGACATTAAAGGCTTCATTTTTATTATTAAAAAAGAGAAAAAAAGAGAAAGAAAACACCTTTCAAATAAATGCTGTTCTTTTCAACTTTCTAATCAAAAAAATACTAAAAATCATTCACTTTCAATTTCCATGCAATTATCAAGCAGCACAACAGTTTTCAACATTGATAAGAAATGTTTCTTGAGCACCAAATCAGCATATTAGAATGATTTCTGAAGGATCATGTCACACTGAAGGCTGGAGTAATTGCTGAAAATTCAGTTTTCCATCATAGGAATAAATTACATCTTAAAATATATTAAAATAGAAAACTATTTTGTACAAATAGAATTTAATATTCCACAATTTACCCATTTTATTTTATTTTTATTTTTAATCAAATTAATGCAGCTTTGGTGAGCAAAACACAAAGACATGACAAAAGATTTATCTATCAATAAGTTTCTTTACAAACAGAAATGGGAAAAAACCCAGAGTGGAGCCAGAGTGAAGTGACTGTAGAATGTTTTGAGCACGAATGGGAAGTTACTGCCACTTCATTCTGCTCACATACTCGTCACAGATTATCCAATAGTCACAAAAAGGGTGTCAGTCTCTTAAAACAAACACATATCTAATGGTGCTTTTCCACTGCGTGGTACGACTCGGCTCGGCTCGCGTTTCCACTGCAGTTCAGTACCGCTTAAGAGTGGGCGGGATTATTCACATGTCGTTATAGCTGTGCCGCCTCTATAGCCGCGACTCCTGAAAAACGTTTTAATTCCGCGTCGCCCCATCAAGCTCTCGCTGGATCTGCTCCTCTGCTATCAACGAGAGGAATGTCCGTACTTCCTCAACAGACAATGAAACAGCCACTTTTTGGTTGTTAAAAAAGGTGCGCTTGTTCAAAACAGTTGCATTCGATCCTTCGCTGGCTGTGCGGATTTAAATCTAGCGGTTCTGTTGTGTTTGTGTCACAAGTTCAGTGACGCAGGTAGTGACGATTCTCTCCGGCCAATCCGTGATCAGCAGAGTTTACACGTCACGTTTTGGTAACGGTACGGTTCACTTGGAACCTCAACCGAGGTGGTACTTAAAAAAGTACCAGGTACTGTACCCAGTGGAAAACCCCCCAAAAGTGAACCGTACCGAGCTGTACTGTGCCGTACCATGCAGTGGAAAAGCGCCATAAAGTTCTAGACATGGACCCTTACCCTCTGACCCTTGCTGTCCCCTCCTGTGTGTACTTTAGATGGTTGTCTCAATTGATCTTCCAGATTTTTTATTTCCTGCTGGAATTCATCTCTCTCATGCTCCCGCTCCACTGCTTGTTCCTGTACATAAGAGGAAAAAAGGCAGAGTCATTTATTTCCCCAAGCTCACATTCACTTTTTCTGGTGCTGAATTTCAGACACTTGAATAAACTGCTGGGAACACTCACATCTATGAACTGGCGGTTATGTTTGAGCTGTTTCTCCAGAGCATCAATGTGTTGCTGCAGGTCCTCAGTCTGCAGGCGGTGCTGTTCCTCCAGCTGATGCGCACGACTCTCCTGCTCCTCCAAGGCCTGCTCCAGCATCTGCAGACGAGACGCCAAACCACCGCAGTCCTTCTCCGCCTGCCGCTGCACCTCCACACACTCCTGCCCCAGACGCTCAGTCTCCGCTAGCAGAGCTGCACAGAGCCCAGGAGGACCAATGAATAAAATCAGTAAGTAACAGCAGAGTTCATGTCAACAAAACACGCAAACTGCAAATGCAAATTAAGATGCAAACATGCACAGGAGCTCCGGATCATTTGTGCATTCTCAATGCACAAATAAAGCACAGCAAACTGGATCAAGAAGAAATTGGCAAAGAAAGACTCATAAGAGAAATTAAGTATTTGGACCTTCAAAACCAAAGGTTTAGAGCAAGTTAAACTGCAAAAAAACAACACAGGATAAGCAAGAGCACTAACAAAACAAACCAAAAAAAAATAAAAAAATCTCAAACTTCATCTGGAACGGATGCATTTAGTGTCAAACTGTACACGTAATTTTTCAACTCAAACATTTACTTCAGTCGCAGATTATCATCACAAACCTGTCTCTTCCTCTGTGTCGAGGAAGCCTACAGAGCAGAAAGAATTTGTAGGATGAAACTAAACCCTCCATCAAGCACACAATCTTAAATTTCACTCTTGTGTTAGGGGTGTATGATATTGATAAAAATTACCTAAATATTTTCCAGCATTTTGTCGATAATAATTAGAGATTATTTGGCCAAGTGTGTTTTAGTGCTGGTATCTTGGCTGGTTTGAGCCGGTCGTGAACAGCCGACTCCAGAAATTTTACATATTCTGTGCAGTGGTTAGTTCACAGCAGTGACAAAGTTTTCCACTACAAGTTAATATTTACCCCCCTTAAAATGATTTCCAGGAAATTTTATATAATATTAATAATTAATAATAAAATCAAATAGAATAATAAAACAAATCAAATGAAATCAGTATCAACAAAATTCATCTTTGCACTGCAGAAGTGGAACAGAAGATACATCTGAAGTGGCATTTAAATGTATTTAGACCGACTGTTTAATGTAATTTAAAGGTGGCTTGAATTGCATTTACAACTGCATGAATAATCCTATGGGATTCTTTTTATTTTATTTTATTTTTGTATAAATATGAATACATTTAAAGTGTAATTTCATTCATTAAAAATTATTTCATAACTAAATATGAAACTAAAACCACCACTAGGTGGCGGAAGATTTGTTCAAATGACAGATTCGTTCAGTCATTTAATCATTCATTAAACTCATTTGGTCAAAACGCATAAACGCAGTGAAGCACTGCTGTGTTGGTCAGACACAAAACAGTTCTGCTGTGGTTTGGAAATTCATTGACAAAAAACAAAGACAATAGTGCATCTAAAAATGTAACTGTTTACTTATCCTTTCTAAAATTAATGACATTTGCAATTGTGCTGATACTGGGCAAAACCGCTAAAATGGGCTACGTTGCATATATGCACTCAGCACATTTTTTGTTTCGCCAGTGTCATGCTCTAAATTGTCAGTTTGCATATTGTTAATACTATAATTATAATATTATCAAAGATGATACACATCATACACCCCTACTCTGTGTGCAAAGCAACAGGTCTTTAACAGGCCATGACTATTTGGCATGCACCGAATGACAAAACTAATGTTACGTAATTGCATGTTATGTAATTCAATCTGAGAATTAAACTAAAGCATGTCAGTTTAAATCACGGCCCTTCCTCTCTCACCCTTCTCAGTGTCTCTGAGGCCGGCCGTGAGGGCTTCTCTCTGACGCAGGAGGAGGGCATGATTTTCACTGAGCTGCTGCAGTTGAATGCGAGTGCTCTCCAGCTCCTCTGCCAGACGCTGCTGCTGCGTTTCCTTCTGCTGAAGTGCCTCCTCCAAAGCTGCTTTCTCAGCTACGTAGCCTTCCATCAGACCTAGAGCCACACATATAAATGCACACAGGACAGCAAATGAGGTAAGTGCCTGATACAGAGAAAGTAATAGAATGGACAACAGCAGACCATATATAGGTATTCTGACCTTCGGACTTGTGCAGCTCCAATTGTAGCTGGCTCTTCAGATTAGCCTCATGATCCAGCTGCTCCAGGAGCTGAGAGTTCTGAAACAGCAGAGATGCTCCAGCCTCACCTCCATCTCTGAACCGCTCATTTAGCACGGCCTGCAGACCACACATCTGCTCCAACTACAGCAGAGAATAACAGGAAGAGAGAAAAGACAGACATATGGATTAAAAGAAAAATAGGGTGAAACAGTTGCTACAGTTAAACCTACATTGTTTTTTTTAAAAGTCAAAAACACAATTGCAAACAAATAAAATAATATAATATAGAAAATATAGATAAGCTAATTTAAAATATTAATAAAGTATAACAGCATAAATACTACTACATTGTAGTATTTGTACTATTCTATAATACTATATAAATTAATACTATAAATGCTGTTCTTTCAAACTACTAAAAACATTAAAAAAATGTTTTTAGAAGTATAACCATTTCCACAAACATTCAGCAGAACGACTGTTTTCAATATTCATAACAAGAAAGGTTTCTTAAGCACCAAATCAGCATATTAAAATGATTTCTGAAGGATCAAATAACACTGACTGGAGTTAGTTTTGCCATAACAGGAATACAGTAAATCATATTTTAAAATAAAAAGATTATTTTAAAGAGCAGGTCATATGGGTTTTCGAAAAATATCTCTTTTGCGGTTTGTAACGTAGCTATCCTTCAATGTAAACAGTCTGCAAAGTTGTTAATCAAAAAAGTGCATGATAAATAAAGATATTGTGTCTCAAAAGAAAGAGTCGGCTCTGAATCGCTAGGCCTGTCGCAATAATCAATATATCGACTTATCGCGCAATAATCGCCTTAACGAGTCCATATATTTTCGAATCTTCTGTCTGTTACCGATCTACATCACTGGGTAACACATTTGCATAATCCCCACCTAACTGTACACTCGGTTACCTGCCCACAAACACTTCCGCTAGTTAGTGTGTTTACATCATGTCGAGAAGACGCTGTGTTCCACAATATTACAGCAATACAATTCGAACCTTTTGTTGTGTGCTCCTCATTTTACTGAGGACTGCTTCTCTAATCTTGGCTTTTATCTTTGTTGGCTTCTAATCTTCTTTATTTGGACTAACAAGCATCTCTGAACCACAACCTGTAAATACGATTGATACGTTATGAGTACATTCTCAATTGAGTGCTCAAAATATCTAGTTTTTTTGTGATAATATGTGATGTATACTTAGTGCAGCTTTAGGTTTCCAGGTAAACTGCGATATTACTGTCTTACTGAAATAGTTCTGATAATTCACTGTGAACCCACTATTTCCTAAGAATGTGTCAGAGTGTCGTTGTTCTAATTTACTTCGTTTAAAGAATGTAGTGTAGCGCACAGACTTTATAATCATTATGAAATTGCGGTTTATTTTGCTGCACCGGCAGTCATAGGGTTAATGCAGGGAGTAAAAGATCCGGTGTTGTGCCCATTTTCGACCCCCTGCCAAATAATTACCCCTCTCGTTGAAATCGAAATCTGATTGCCTAATCCTAACCCTACCCCCACACCTAACCCTAAACCTATGTTTACATCATGTCGAGAAGACGCTGTGTTCCACAATATTACAGCAATACAATTCGAACCTTTTGTTGTGTGCTCCTCATTTTACTGAGGACTGCTTCTCTAATCTTGGCTTTTATCTTTGTTGGCTTCTAATCTTCTTTATTTGGACTAACAAGCATCTCTGAACCACAACCTGTAAATACGATTGATACGTTATGAGTACATTCTCAATTGAGTGCTCAAAATATCTAGTTTTTTTGTGATAATGTGATGTATACCTAGTGCAGCTTTAGGTTTCCAGGTAAACTGCGATATTACTGTCTTACTGAAATAGTTCTGATAATTCACTGTGAACCCACTATTTCCTAAGAATGTGTCAGAGTGTCGTTGTTCTAATTTACTTCGTTTAAAGAATGTAGTGTAGCGCACAGACTTTATAATCATTATGAAATTGCGGTTTATTTTGCTGCACCGGCAGTCATAGGGTTAATGCAGGGAGTAAAATATCCGGTAAAGAGAGACGAGCGAGTTAGACTGGTGCGCCCGTGATACAGCTGTTCTGCGTTCTAATTAAAAGTTAAGACACGGAGCGTATTTTGTCTGTCGTTCTTCAGACATTACAGTAACAATAGACATATTTTGGTTTACAATCTGTATTGTTTCATCAGTTAGTCATGTTAGCACTCGGCTAACATATCCACCATTATTGTTTTAAGTATTTACAGTTTAGCAGCTAAACTGTAGCTGTGGGCACGATTCGCTTATGTCATTATTTTAAGAACGGATTGGAGCACTATATTATTGCTTTATGTAAAGGTGAATGCTAGGGTTGCCAGGTTGTCACAACAAAACCGGCCCAAATGCTACTCAAAACTGACCCAATGGCGTTTCGAGGGAGTCCTCCGTTAAAAAACGCGTTCCGGGGTATAAATTACAAGTTTTTTGTCAGGGTTCCCCTGGTAAATTCGCATTCCAGAGGCTAAATATGACGTTATTGGGGTCGCTTCAACCCGCGGACATCAAAACAACCGTTGACTTGGCAACACAGATGGTAGCGCTCGCTAACTTGCTCAAGCACTCCTCTTTGTGCCAATCACAACAGGCTTGGCCAGCTGACCAATCAGAGCAGAGTAGGCTTATGGAAGGGAGGGGTTTACAGACATTTTGCTCAGAACTGAATCGAATGAACCGTTTCAAAATTATGGACAAATGACTGTCTAAATGTATATTCTGGGAAAATTACAATGTTTTCTGACCTTAGATGCATTTAAACCTGTTGTAGGGGACTCCAACACAATATTAGGACACTTAAAAAAAAAAAAAACATATGACCTGCTCTTTAAATTGTAAGAACATTTCACATTACTTTTATTATTATTATTATTGATCAAATAAATACAGCCTTGTTTTGGTGAAAGATGTCTCATGCTCAAAAACAAAACTCTTACTGACACCAACTTTTAAACGGCAGTTTACTCAAGTATGAAGACTAAATACTAAACTGGAAATAAAACGTATTTAATTAAAGCATGAGGAAATTGTTGTTTCACAAAATTAACATCACAAACCATTGTGTGAACATACATGTGCATAAAAGTAACATAGCAATACGAGGGAGGAAGACTTCGTGACCTATAACAAGTTCTTGTGGCCATCGATACTGCCTAATCTATACAATTGACAGTAGTGGGTGAGTCAGGGGCGTGTGTGTGTGCGCGTGTGTAAAAGAGTGGATGACCAATAATTTTCTCCTATTAAATTCGGATAAGACAGAGATATTACTTATTGGACCAAAAAAACTACACAGAATCTCTTGGATTACAATTTGCAACTAGACGGATGTACTGTTACTTCCTCTACAGTCCAAAATCTGGGTGTTATATTAGATAGCAACTTATCTTTGGAAAATCATATTTCCCATGTTACAAAAACAGCATTTTTCCATCTTAGAAACATTGCCAAGGTACTAAACATGTTACCAGTTGCTGATGCAGAAAAGCTAGTTCATGCATTCATGACCTCTAGACTGGACTGTTGTAATGCACTGCTAGGTGGTTGTCCTGCATCTTCAATAAACAAGCTACAGGTAGTCCAAAATGCAGCGGCTAGAGTCCTTACCAGGTCAAGAAAATATGATCATATTACC